ACAAAAGAGAGTCTCTGAGCACACACAGAGCTCTTTTGCCTTTCAGATGAGTAACCACAGCCCACCTGCTTCCAGATACAGGGAGGTCCTTCCCCCTTCAATGGGGTTCCCTTCCCAGCTAAGGAATGGCATACAGCCCAGGGCAGAGCACCTGTTCGCAGGTCGAAGATACCTGGTTCAATCCCAGTAAAAGGATCCCACATAGCAGGTGCTGGGTGAGCTGCCACCAGTCAAAGGAGGTGGAACTGGGCCAATTGTCTTACTTGATATAAGGCCAAAATCTATAGTGAATCTCAGTGCTGTTGCTCATCGGTTGGAGCACCAGCTTTATATGCAGAATGTCCCCGATGCAGTCTTGGTTGATGGAAAGGCTCTTCCATCAGAAAGGGAGCCAGTTTGGTGTAGTGGTTAAGTGTGCAGACTCTAATCTGGGAGAACCGGGTTTGATTCCCCACTCCTCCACTTGCACCTGGCTGGATGACCTTGGGCAAGCTGTAGCTCTGATAACAGCTGTTCTTGAAAAAGAGCAGTCTCTGTCAAGAGCTCTCTCAGCCCCACCTACCTCACAGGGTGTCTGTCGTGGGGAGGGGAAGGGAAAGGAGTTTGTGAGCCCCTCTGAGACACCTTTGGGTAGTGAAGGGCAGGGTATAAATCCAATCTTTTCTTCTTCTTCTTCTTCTTCTTCTTCTTCTTCTTCTTCTTCTCTGTCGGGGTTTTTTCACGAGTCAGAAGAGGCAATACTGGGCAGGATGGAGATCGGATTCAGTATGTTCATGAGCCATAGCACAGGCCTGAACTATACATTATGACCAGGGACACATGAGTCTGTCTTTGACATCCAAAGTCATATGTCGGGAATGGGAGAAAGTAATTGCCCAAGTGTGCAGGGGCCAATTCAGATCAGGACTGCAAGGTAGACAGAAGGGGGGAGGGAGAGAAGGGGCTTTAGCCTTCCCCTCTCACCATTTTCTTGACCCAAAATGACCACTCACCATTTTCTTGACCACTCAGGGAGAGTGGTATATGCCCCATTGAGAGGCTGCACATGTAGCCTCCCCATCAGTCCATGTGCAGCCCCCAGTGGGGGAAATAATGCCTCTTGAGGCCCTTTCAGATCAGGAAAAGTAGAGGCAAGCTGAATCAGGCCCCTCCAAACTCAGAGAAATTAGTTCCCCCACTCTTGACATCTGACTGTCAGCATCAAAGTCGGGTCTGTGGATCCTAGACCCTACATACTGCAAATCGTAATGTGGAGTTTGGGCCTCATTGATGACGTTCCTGCTTGGCAGCAGAAGGTCCCGGGTTTAGCATCTAGATCTCAGGTTGCATGGTCGGGAAAGGTCCTGGCAAAGGAGACAGGTAGATGGGCCAAGGCATTGACTCCGCACCAGGCAGCTTCTTGTATTTAGCATCTCACTGTTCACATATTGGTGTCTGCACCAGCCCCCTCCAACATTGCTTTCTCTTTTGCCATGGCTATGTGTTTCTTTTTGGGGGGGGGCGCTTGCTTCCTCTGGATCCATCTGGCCAGCCAGGATACTTCTGAATCACTGCTGCTGTGCCTTCAAGTGCCACAATTCTTTCCAACAGTATCCCCCCCCACCCCGCCCCCACGTTTTAACTTACAGTTTTTGTGCGACCCATTTTCCAAAAAGTGCAGCGGGAGAGGGAGGGAGGAACGATCTGTAAACAAAATTGTTCCATCTTGGACTCCTTCCCTGTCGTCACATTAAGTGTTCTTAAGAAATCCCCCCAGAAGAGGAGGGCAGCCAGGCCCTGATCCGC